AGGGTAAACAAAGGAGGAGGCTGCAATGCTTGGTAAGAAATGTACGCATTATCCTGCCCATGCAATTGTAACCCCTCTGTACAGTTTGTTCACAAATAAAATAAAATAAAATTAAAAAAAAAAAAGGATCTCTTAGGTTTTCTGTTTGTCACGAGAAATCCATGCCAACTAATTTAGATATGTAAAATAACTGGCTTGGAGGCTAGGAATGTGGCTTAGCAGTAGAGTATTTGCTGAGCATGCACAAAGCCCTGGGTTCAATTGCTCAGCACCACATAAAGAGAAAAAGCCAAAAGTGGCACTGAGCAAAAAGAAGCTCAGGAATAGAGGTCAGGCCCTAAGTTCAAGCCCCAGGACTAGCAAAAAAACAAAAAACAAACCCTAAATAACTAGTTTGGCTAATATTCCACAAACATGTTTCTAAAATTTCATATATTATCAGTAGATATATCATATCAAGGTGCCCTATAAAACTTTAACACAAGCAATATGAACTGTTTTACATTATAAAATGGAAACATAATGAAACTAAATATAGTTATACAAAATTAACTGTAACAGCCCTTAGATCATTACGATTTGTTACTATCAATACATAAATATTAACAAGTACTAACATGGAAATAACTGGTGGCCCACCCAACAATCTGTCTGGCTTTCCTTATTAATAGAATTCCCTTCCTGGGGTTACTTACAAATGATTAAGGATCACATTTCCTACTTCAGTTGTTAAGAAAGGCAAGGAAATAAGTTTCTTTGTTTTTTTTTTGTCACTCGTGGGGCTTGAACTCTGGGCTTGGGCACTCTTCAGCTCAAGGCGAGCACTCTACCGCTTGAGCCACAGCGCCACTTTCAGTTTCCTACTGGTTTTTTTGGAGATAAGGGTCTCAGGGACATTCCTGCTGGGGCTGGCTTGGAACCGCAATCCTTAGATCTCAGCCTCCGGAGGAGCTAGGATTACAGGCATAAGCCACGAGCGCCCGGCTCAAATTTCTTTTCTAAACCAATTTGTCTTTTTGCAGTCTTGTATCTGAGCTTGACAAATTACACGAAAAGACAGTGAGTGGTAGCTTTCAGTACCCTTTATGAGAGTTGATGCATGCCATTTGTCCCCTTCATGACTCCCTCCAACATAAAGGCCAGATGTCAACATAAAAGACTAGAATTCTAGCCGGGCACTGGTGGCTCACGCCTGTAATCCTAGCTACTCAGGAGGCTGAGATCTGAGGATCGCAGTTCAAAGCCAGCCCGGGCAGGAGAGACCGTGAGACTCCTATCTCCAATAAACCACCAGAAAACTGGAAGTGGCGCTGTAGCTCAAGTGGTAGAGCGCTAGCCTTGAGCTGAAGAGCTGAGGGACAGTGCCCAGGCCCAGAGTTCAGGCCCCACGACCGGACCCAAAAAAGAAAAAAAATCATTCATAATTAAAGCCATTCTAAATTTTCCAGTAATTTTTTAAAAACAGCTTCTCTTTTTCCACATTAGTGCAAGTCTTTTTTTTTTTTTTAAGGTAATAGAGTTTGCTATGAGCCTCACACTAGCTAGGCATTCTACCCCTTGAACACACCTCTAGTCCTTTCTGCTTTAGTAATTTTTTGGATAGGGTATTACATTGTTTTTCTTAATCAACCTGTAATAAAACAGAATTTCTTCCTTGCTGTGTACATTGAGCCCTCTACTCAGTATTTCTTTGTCATTTACCATCATCTGTTCTAGTCATTTTTGGTTTCGTTTGTTTTGTTCTTTTGCTTTGTTTTGGTTTTAATGTCAATAGCCTGAGAACAGTGTCTGGCATGTAGATGATATATAATAAATACTTGTTAAACAAATCTGTTTACTTGACTAAAAAGCCGTTTCTATACAAAAAAAATCAGCTAATAATGTACAATTCAAGATAAATAATAGATTTGGAATAATCCACTAGAGTAAACAATATGCTTTACATAACATTCCCTACATTCACTGACATGTACATGTATAGGCTAGGTTGTCATGTTTCCAAGTTGGTAGAAAAGAGTACTTCAAGAAACACAGGGAAGGGCTGGGAAGGTGGCTCAGTGGTAGAGCGCTTGCGTTGCATGCTCAAGGCCCTGGGTTGGATTCCTCAGCACCACATAAGCAAAAAGAAAAAAGCCGGAAGTGGCGCTGTAGCTAAAGTGGTAGAGCGCTAGCCTTGAGCTGAACAGTTGAAGGACAGCGCCCAGGCCCAGAGTTCAGGCCCCATGACTGGACACACACACACAAAAAATAAACAAAGAAACACAGGGAAAGCCGGCGCCGGTGGCTCAAGCCTGTAATCCTAGCTACTAAGAAGGCTGAGAGCTAAGGATCAAGGTTCAAAGCCAGCCCGGGTAGAAAGACCATGAGACTCCTATCTCCAATAAACCACCAGAAAACCGGAAGTGGCACTGTAGCTCAAGTGGTAGAGCACTCGCCTTGAGTTGAAGAGCTGAGGGACAGTGCCCAGGCCCAGAGTTCAAGCCCAACAACCAACTAAAAAAAAAAGAAACACAGGGAAAAAACTATATACTGCCTCAGTAGTAGCCTTTACACAAAACATGGGCAAGAAATTAGAAGCAACTAAGACTTTAAAGTATCTTAATTATATTCCTGCAGGAAATGAAAAATAAAATATTCCACAAACTGAAATATTCAGCAAAGAAACAAATTAGATTTTAATTTTATTACTGTAAATTATTTAGGCAATTATAAATGAATCAAATCTAGTTCCAACTAAGATAAAAATTGATTACATAATAAGGTAAAAAACAACAAGAGTTTAGTAATAAATATGCTCAAATTTCATTCAAAGACAATACAAATAATAATAGGACAATACCTTGCAGTTCTGTAGCAGTCGTATGAGATGTTCAAAACAATTACTGTTAAGAAAAATGGCCTGAAGAACAGGTCTATCTGTGCAATCTAACATGGCTGTGATGGTATCTAGAAAAATAAAAACAAAATAATCCATTTAAATTTGTTTTTTTATTTGATAGAACAGATATAAATTATTTAGGAAGTAATATAGATCAGGAACAGAAAACCACATTGTAATTATTAGGTGATACAAATGGGAACATTTTCATACTTTGTAATATAAAATGCTCAAATTATGTATGTTTAAGGCTGGGAAGGTGGTTTAGTGGTAGAGTGCTTGCCTAGCATGCATGAAGCCCTGGGTTCGATTCCTCAGTATCACATAAGCAGAAAAAAGCTGGAAACGGTGCTGTGGCTCAAGTGGTAGAGTACTAGCCTTGAGCAAAAGAAGCTCAGAGATAGTGCCCAGGCCCTGAGTTCAAGCCCCAGGACTGGCAAAAAAAATTATGTATGTTTAATATTTTAAATGTTTAAATATTTCATAGACTAACATGTAGTTCCCAGAAATTTAATAAGTTACTCTTCTATCATAATACTCAGGTATAACCAACTGTTGTGTCCACAGTAACTAGTGATGTTTCTTTCATTTATACATTATAAAATTAACATACAGGCCTTGAAAATGATTATATCATTTTGCTCTCATTTACTACTAGTACATTGTTCATACTCAGAAATAAAAGGACATCTGGCATAGGCAGTATGTGTATGTTTTAGTTTCTAAACAAAAAAACAAGTCCATGAAAGACAGATTCAAACTTATTTATAAACTTTCAGTTTATTATAAAATATGGCATGCTATAATGTAACAAAAGGTAAAAAAACTATATGAGACTATTTTCATTCTCCTATAGCAGCAAATGGATCATTTGACAAGATTTTGATGCCCAATTATTTCTAAATTTATAGGTACACATGTTAGCTAAGAACTTTTCTAATAAATAAATACAAATATTATTTTAAAAAAAACAGCTTGTTAGTAATCTAATGTGATACTTCCAACAAAAAAGTCACATACTGCTGAGGTATCTTAAAAGCAGAGATGTGTGTGTGTGTGTGTGTACAAAGAAAGAGAGAAAGAGGGAGAGAAAGGGAAAGGGAGACAGAGATAAACATAGGCAGAAGGAGAGAGAGAGAACGAGAGAGCATACCAATACAAAGAAAAGGAACAAAAAAAAAGACAATAACTCACAAAAAGAGAAGTGCTGAGGAAAAACAAAACACAAGCCTTCTAGAAGGAGAAATACTTGAAGGAACCTCTACAGAAAAGAAATGTTATACATAGAAATACCAATTTTTTAGCTTAAGTAAAAGACCATAAAAGGACACTTCCTGATAATTTAGTTACTGTAAAACTTCAAGGTCATAGCTGTATTTTTGTTACTGATATTTTCAGTGGATTACCCTTCCTTCCTTCTTTCCTATCTCTTTTCTTTCTTCTCTTTTTTTTGTGCATGTTCTGGGGCTTGAATTCAGGGCCTGAGCACCATCCTTGAGATATTTTGCTTAAGGCTAGTGCTTTACCACTTGAGCCACAGCTCTTCTTCCAGCCTTTGTTAGTTAATTGGAGGTAAAAAGTTCCTGGATAATCAGGGGTAGTGGCTTATGTCTGTAATCCTAGGATGAGATCTGAGGATTGTGATTTAAAGCCAGCCAGGGAAGAAAAGTCCTCTGTGATACCTCACTAACCACTCAAAAACCAGAAGTGGTATTAGCCTTGAGCATAAAGAGGCTCAGGGACAGTGCCCAGGCCTTGAGTTCAAGCCCCACAAATGACAAAAACAAAAAAGAAAAAAGTTCATGAACTTTCCACCCAGACTGGCTTTGAACTCCAATATTCATATGTCAGTCTTCTGAGTAGCTAAGATTACATGAGTGTACCACCAGTGCCAGGCAAATTACACTTTCAAATCAATTCTATGTTAATTATTTGGAAGTTAAAATCTATGAGTAATCATGAATTAAACAATTAACAATGTTAATACAAGAGCTTGGTATTCAAAAGAAAGAAATATAAAATTAAAAAATAGACTCAGGCCAGGCGCTGGTGGCTCACACCTGTAATCCTAGCTACAGTAGGCTGAGATATGAGGATGGTGGCTCAAAGCCAGCCCAGGCAGGAAAGTCCTTGAGACTCTTATTTCCAATTATCCACCGGAAAACCAGAAGTGGCACTGTGGCTCAAAGTACTAGAATGCTAGCCTTGAGCATAAGAACTCAAGGACAGCACTCAGGCCCTGAGTTCAAGCCCCATCACACAC